TAAAAAATTTCTCTAAAATGCTGTCAGAAGTGTTGATACGTGGGTTGGTGTGTTTCAGTATGTACAGATTCCAGAGAGACAGTGCTGGCACGGGAATGCAGGTGGAGGACTCAGTGCAGATCCCAAAAATGTGGTAAGGCTTTTTTTTTCTTTTTTCTTGCTTATATGTAATTGAGCTTGCATATTGAGGATTTTTAAAACAAAACATGACGCTTATATTAGCTGATGAGCTAATTATGGTGTTTCCCATACATTGACAATATCCCTCACAATATCCACACTAATGTCTCACAGACATGGCCATGACTTTAGCACTATATTTACCAACTTTCAGACCCCTTTAGTGATTTTTTTTCTACATAGTGACAAACCTAGTGACATTTTTGGATGAAGCTTAGCTTTCATTCAGTTGTAAGATGTTGCCAGAACTGCCCCGCGAGCATGAGGCCTGACTTTCCCAGCGCAGTATCGCCTCTCTCTGCGTCTGATGTCTGTGCAATCAGCCGTACCGCAGCCGACTTGTCAATAAATGAGTACAAAAGCACCTGTCTCTTACTGACTGTTTGGGCTTATACATATGAACATAGTTCTTCTGTAAATATGCACATAGTTTGTTACTCAGGCGCAGGCAGTGCACTGCACGAGACAAAAAATAAAAAGTTATATAGCCAAATCCACCACATACAGCCGCTCTTTAGTGTAGATGTATGTTGTTGTTTTTTTAGATGATGATGTTGTGATTATAAATCAGGATTTTTAGGAGAATAGTTAGAGCAACTCCTGGTTAACATGTAGTATTAATGGGTCGTGTTTAGTCACACTTAGTACTTGTTTTATGTATGGCAAGAGAAACCGAAAACATGTACATGAGAACAGCTTTATTGTGCAATCAGTTGTATAACAGCATGTGACCGTTCAGAGGGTAGAACAGATCTGAAGTGCCAAAACTGGTCTCAACGCCAACACGACACAATAGATATGCTAATGAATATGTGACGTCACCTGCTGCCACACAATCCTGTGGGAAACACTGTATTCTGTTCATTCAAAACATCATACAGAGAAGCACAATGTCAAATCAAAATGGATTTTTGAAACCCATTCTTAGGCTTATTGTGCAATGTTAATTGGTACATGTCATTTCCAAATTTGTGTGTCTTCATAGTCATTCATCAAAATATAGCAACTACAGAAGATAATGCCTCCACGACAGAAATATCAGATCCAGCCCCGAACACCAGAACCTGTCAGAAAATATCTGTTTGTTCTGGTAACAAAACAACTAGTCAGCAAAATTGTCTAATACCCAAAACCCGTTAACAGCAAGTCTTGTCTGGTACCAAAAACTGTGTGAACAGTCTTCTATCAGCCAAGACGTTGACTGAGCAAAGCCAGTGAAGAGCAGAAGCAGGAGACGAAGTGATGGTGATAAAAAAGGAGCAAAGTTTATTGAATAGTCTTAGTTGCGTAAGTTTCAATGCTCAGACTTTGTCTGATGAACACAAATCCAACAAAACTGCTTCACAACAACATCCCATTAACATTGAATTTCCATATACAGTCCCACTTTTCTCTTATTCATGAAGATAAACATCTTTGTTCAAACCACACATCATAAGACTAAACAATGGAAAAATAATATAAAAACAATAATAATCAATGACAAATCAATTAATGAATCAATGAAATGAGTATATAAAGGGTTTACTATTATTATTATTATAAATGGATATATGATTCAATGGATTAATGAAATAATAAATGATTATAAATGAATGAATGAAGAATAAATTAAGATAAAAGAATGAAAGTAAAACACAACACAAATGTATGGTTGCTTTCTTGAAGCAAAACACATGCATTCTTTTGGCTGACATCAACAATCACAGAATCTAATGTAATTTAATGTATAACACTGGATTTCAGAAACTCAAAGGTCTTCACAACATAGACATTAAAATAGTTTGATTAAACTTGAAATTAATGGCATATTACTGTATAGTGTAATTTACTTATAAGTGTAATAATAATAATATAATGTATTAAAACATTTATTATCACAATCAAGAGATTTTATTTCAGACAAATTTATAAAGTAAACCTCACTTGTGCAGCACATTATTTGACAAAAATGCAAGGTTTTGTTCTAAAAGAACTGATGTGTTTTAATTTGAATGCTTTTTAAAAGGTTAATTTAATTGTAAATTAATTTGTTTACCACAGTTTTTGCAGATACATTTGTATTGAATCATAAAACACAGAAATCAGAAAAAATAAAACTTTTGAAAAAATAAAATAAAAAAATAAAACCAATTTCGTAGGGTCCTGTTATTGTCAACATTTTCCTGAATTTAATTGTTAAAGTTTTAGGTAGTTAATTATTTCGATTTTTTATATTATTATTATTATTATTTTATTAATTTAAAACAGAACTCAAAAAATGTAAAATGTAAATCATTTAATTAATCAGGTTGGTCAGTGCTCAACTACACGGTTCCCATTGCCGAGAGTTGTTTGATTATATATTAGCCTCATTTTACCACTCGGTCAAGCATCATTTTTAATATTTAAGTGCAAATGAACAAAGATTCTTTAATCCAAAACAAACAAAACCTCTTCCTCCTCTAGCTTTTAAACTGTCGAGTACACTTGGATCATGTAGACACTTGGGCTGTTAAGAGGATTCACATGTTCCCAAAACACACTTCCTGATGTGGTGTCTGCGGTTTATGTAGGCTGCCACCTCATCTGCGCATCTAGCAAACGTGACAAACTAGATTGATTTATTGTGCTGGCAGAGAGCTTTTGTTGATGGCGATGTTGTCGGTCTGGTTTTGTACATTGTGCTGAGCTGGAGTCGGATTGCAGAGGCTTTGTGGATCTCTGCTGCCCTCTTCTGCAGACATCAGTGCACCACATTATAATGTACAGTCACACCAGAAATTATTCAGATATCACCAGATATTATTTTTGATATTTTTTTTACTAGTGGGTGCAGGACACTATAGTTCATTTATGTAAGTGAGGATAGCAAAATAAAGTAAACTGTGACATATTATACCCAACAATTCTGAGTTCTTGTCATATTTTATGACCGTTTTTTTAAACTATTGCCAATAAACTGTGATAATGTGTGAAATGTTGAAGGTGTCTGAATAAATGTTGGTTTGACTGTACATCCCTAACTTTATAACTAATTAGGATGCTCCTATTTAAACATTCTGTTTTGGCTTTAATGAACATGTTTTAAGAATGAAAGTTGTGAATGAAAAAAAAAAAGATGTAACTTTATGCTTTTTAAACTAAGAAACCCTCAATACCTTTGCTTGTTGCAGCTGAAGGAAGTGAACTCCTCGAAGATTCTTGCAGCCATGTTGATGTATGTTTGGCCCAAGGACAGACCCGACCTGCGTGCACGAGTGGCCATATCACTGGGTCTCCTCGCTGGAGCCAAGGTGCGTTTCTTTATTATACCAACACCGTATCATTTAATGTCTTCTTATACAGTTCTAGTTCTGTGACAAAATTAACATAGTGGCTGTTTGTATTTTGATATGTTTTGTTTAGGGGTGTTATTGTACAATGAGATTTTGGTATGTCTTGGTATGCACTTTTTTTTCTTTTCTTTGACTATTTCTATGACTTTGTCTTTACATAAAGTCTGTCAATACTGCTGGAACCGGCTGATATGACGTGCTTCCAATTTTGGGTGCAACATATTTTTATTGCGTTCTCTGTTTGACGTGTATGCGCGCTGTTATGTCTCCCTAATTACTTGGCGTCTAGAAGTTGTGGGAGGTAACACATGAAAAATCTAATAAATAAGATATTATTTAAGGTAAGATACTTTACTCTGTTAAGGAGATGTGATGCATGAGATTAAGAAGCAGGCAGAAGCAAAAACTGAATTTGAACTTGCTTTTAGTAAGAAAAAATAATTCAATATAACAAAAACACCCAATAATGCAATAAACAGTGAATCAAATATATACATCCAAAATAAATAAATATCTATTTACAAATTATATACAAACGTAAGGGATTAAAGATAACAAAGTGAGGGACGAGAGCGGTGCTAAAGAAAATAAATCAATAAAACGTAAACACACTAACTAACACCAACCAAACTCTAAGCTAATCAAAAGAAAATAACATCTTCAGCGTGGAACGCCACTAACTATGCTGTCTAATAACATAAATACATCAGTTGGCACCCGCTCATAACCTAGTGTGCTTAAACAACTTTACTCTGCATGCTGTAAGATGTAAGTCACGTGACATACTAACCTGGTCCCATCACTGTGCATCGAGAAAGGACTTGAATAAACTGGTAAACCGAGAGTCGAGTCACAGTATAAACTCAGTAGAACAACGCTATGAAACTCTAAAAAAAATAATAAAAAAAAAGGCAAACTCAAACACACACAAAAAAAAAAACGTAGCAAGAGCAAACGCAGGAGAGCAAACAAAGGAAACGCAAACACTCCTCCCGCACTCGTGTCATATCCGGGTGTTTATACACGCCCTCTAGCGTCTGATTGGTTCTCGAGGCAGTGCGTGGACCTGATGACTGGCAGGATCGTCATCCAATCACAAGACCTGTGAGATGAGAGAGAAAAAGCAGAACACCCCTCCCAAAACAATACGGGACGCAACAGCTCGTTCAGTGAAGTTTAACAAATATAGCCTTTGTGGAAAATGGAAACACTTTCCAGCATTTACAGATAAGGTTGCAACCATAAGGTGTAGGGCACATGCATCAAACAGAACAAGCCTTTAGCAGGAGGGCAAGCCACTTTAAACAGGCTTATGAGTTAATTTGAAGTGCTTAAAGTGCCCCAATTATGCCTTTTTGAATATTGCATTTCATTGCAGGGTGTAATGTAGCTGTATGTGAATGTAAACGATCTGCAAAGTTGTAAAGCCGAAAGTGCACGATAAAGTTATTATCTCCCAAAAGAAAGAATTGACTCTGAACAGCCTAAACGAGTCGTCAGTAATTTGAATCTCAATTCTGTGACGGCTACATGACACTGATTTGCATAATGCCCGCCTCTATTCTATGTTGGCCGGCCGCGAACAACTTGACCCGCCCTCAAACACTGCAGCTTGGTCGTGTGGTTCACATCATGTCGAGAAGACGCTGTGAAAGTAAATTCATTTTATTTTCACTTCCGAATGAAGAGGCTGCAAAGAATCAGTGGTTAAAATTCACAGCAGGACAACCCCAATCTTTTTTTGAGTTCCCATCATATGACTGACGACTGCTTCTCTAATCTCGGGGAGTTTAACGCGGGATTCACAAACGCTCACTCTTGAAAGATGAGCTCAGTACACGGTTTATTTGGACCAACTGGCTCCACTGAATCTCAACCTGTAAGCATGATAAATAATAAATATAAATAATTGATTATATTTTCTATCGAGGTTCAAAATGCTAAACTATGGCAACAGGCGTATCGTTTCCGACACACGCTGTACGCGGTGGACCAATCACAACAGACTGGGCCATCTGACCAATCAGAGCAGAGTAGGCTCATGGAAAGGCGGGGTTTAGAGAGACTGAATCTCAGAACTGCTTCAAACGAATCGTTTGAGAATCGCTGGAAAATGAAGTGATATTAAATGCATATTTTGAGAAAAAGGAAGTATTTTTTGACCTTGCGTGCATGTAAACCTGTTGTAGGAGACTCCCAAAACAATATTACGAACCTTAAAAATGGCATAATAGGGGCACTTTAACATGAAGCACATCTCATCATTAGGACAATTTGCACTTTAACCACAGCAGCTCACTCTGTGTCCTTCATTATTTTCCAGATGCGTGCGCAACATCGAATTATATCAGTATAAACAGTATTGTGTCATCCTACACTGTAAAAAAATCTATTAATTTGAAGGGATTTGCTGTGAAAACAGCAAATCTCTATATTTATTATAATAGGTTTATGTGAGGATTGTTTTAAGTTCACTTAAATTAGTTGTTGTTTTTTAAAGTCTAATAAATGTTAAAATTAATCAATTATACTGTAATGTTGAATGACTGTAGGCAATGGTTAAATATTAGGAAAAAAAAACTATATCCTAGAGACATCAGTATGATTGGTTTTAGTGATACTCGCCTTAAGTCATAAAAAAGATGACATTAAACAAATATTATAAATATGCTGTCTTTGCTGTTTCCATCAATTTGAAGATTGAATGTGAAATTATTGCAATATAAAAGTATGTTTAAAAACTTGAGGTGGGATTATCGATTGACCACACTAAAGCTCTTTATACAATATAGATTGTTTCACAGCAGCTTCACAATAGTATGAATTTCAAATTCTGTTGTAAAGCAGCTCTAACAAGTCAACAGTGTCATTACAGAGCTCAAGTCAGTTCAGTATTGACTCAGTTCAGCTGCATAACTCTGTAAAATTCATCAGTTGTAAATACATACTGAATATACAGTGTATTTGTGCACATACGTGTATGTGTGATACCATACCATAATACTTGGTTAATTACGGATTTGCTGATGGTCCAGTGCAATTTTTAACTTTCCCATTATTCAAAAACAATGTGTGTCCTGATGTTCTGGAAGTGGGAAATGAGTAGTTTTGCTGCATGTTTTCAATAAATGCTCTTTTTTCAGTGAGAAGGAAGTGTTGAGTTCTGAAACTGTTTATTTTTGTATCGTTTTTGAACCTATACATGTCAGAAAATCAAGTGAAATTTGATCCCTCACATCACGACAACTTTAACAAACCATTTTGTCACACGCTAGTTATTAGTATGTTATTTTAAGTGATATTGGATTTTTGCCGATATCTGATATGACGATATTTTTCAACTCATTTGGCCGATAGCCAATGCTGATACAGATATATTTCCTTTTGTTTGGAAATAACACCAAGTCTCTCCTGTGCAGAAATTATAAGCAAATTATTTTTAGAATTAAATAAATTACG